TGAAACGGTATAGTGTTTCCTGCCTAGCCAGGGGGTTGCACTAGAAGACCTCCAAGGTCCCTTCCAACTCTGCTATTGTATTGTATTGTATTGTATTGTATTGTATTGTATTGTATTGTATTGTATTGTATTGTATTGTATTGTATGGAGCAACATTGCTGCCCTTGGCGAAGAAACAGGAGCATTACTGCCTATAATCGGACATGACTGGTTAGGGGAAATCTTTATTGATAATTCACCCCAAACCAAAGGATTACTGCATTTCCTCTGATTTCATATAGGTATTAAATAACATGGTACCATTCGCATTTCCAAACACCCTTATAATCCTAATGCTTAAAAAAGTGCATATAAACTCAGAAGACATTATCTCAATCGTCCTCTCAAGGACTATCTAATTCATACCAAATACGAGCAAGAAAAAAAGATTCTGCAAAGAACCTTAAAAGCTTGCAAGATATCTGTTCCTCCTTCACTCTGAAAGATATAGGTAATTGTGAACAAGTGTGTACAAGAATCTGCAGATGCAGAAATCATGCAATTGTATGGATGTTTAATACTTTCATCATTACAATTCTCTTATCAAATCTCAAATTTGCATATCTAGCCAAGGTTAGTCACTTCATTTTCTACTACGGTTATGGTAAGTGTCTGGCACAAACCACTCAAATGAGTCTCCCCCCCATCCCCCCGTCTAGAAATAAGCTTGACTTGGGCTAAAAAAATGCCTGACTGAGATAAACATTAATGTCCTTTTTCAGATACATTTTACTCCTGCAAGATAAACTACCATTTCTAGTCTATGATTGTTTACATACATCATTCTTTAGATTCCCCGGTATGAATTCATGAAATCCCAAATACATCCAGATTGTATCCCCAGGGCATGGAATCCCAGCATCGAAAGCATAAAGGTCAACCATCAATCCAATTATGAAAACTGAGGGCCTGGGCAGGCTCCCTAGGCAATAACATGGGCAGTACACTAACAGCAACCCAATTTCTCAACAGAGGTGGAGATAACATCCATGCATGAGTTGACATTGTCTGCCTTCTGATTGGACTGAGTCTTATTCACTTATATAATTATAGGTAGTCCTCAACTTACAACCTCAATGGAGCCCAACATTTCTGTTGCTAAGTAAGATAATTGTTAAGTGAGCTTTGTCCTATTTTACTATCATTCTTGATGCATTTGTTAAGTAAACCATTGTAGTTGTTAAGTTAGTAACATGATTGTTAAGTGAATCTGGCTTTCCCATTGACTTTGCTTGTCAGAAAGTCACAAAAGGCGATCACATGATCCCGGGACATTACAATGGTCATAAATGTGATTCAGTTCCCAAGGATCAGAATTTTGATTACGTGACCATAAGGATGCTGCAATGGTCATATTGTGAAAAATGGTCATAACTCACATACGGCACTTTTTTCATTGCCGTAACTTCGAACAATCACTAAATGACTGTCATGGACTACCTGTAATGCATCCATTAGTTGGAAACTCTAAATCAAGTACCATACAGGTCTCTTAGCCTACTTCATGAGGTTGCTGCCGTGGAAAAAACTGGAGGAGGAAGAGTTATGTGCATTGCCTTGGGCACATCTCTTAGACTAGAGGAAAGGCAGGATGAAAAACTAACAAATAAATAAGAAAAGTTGCCTTGGTTTAATTAAACTACTGTTACTGTTGACCCAGACAAAGCCAGGAGAGGGAACCCTTGAGAAAAAATATCTGTGTTGTTTAGAACACTGCTTAAAAGGGGGTTCTTGTAAATTTCTCCCATCTCCAAGGGGAATATTGAAATCACAGTGTTTACAATTAGGTACTAAAAAAAAA